TAGGGAAAGGATGTCTGGGGGATCTCTTCCAGCCCCTGTTTGGGGCCTGGAGCCAGGGGATTTGTCTCCAGGGCTGAGCTGGGTAGTTGACCTTAGGGGCATGTCACAGCCTCGGCTTCTGCTGGGCAGAGGTAGGGCAGGGGGGCATGCGTGTACATACTTACATTCACATGCATGCACACATGCAGGTGCACATGCACACATGCCTAGATGGCAACACACACAAACACACCCATCTGCCAACACCTCCACTACTCATTCCCACACCTGCAGACACACCTGCACACACGTGCCACCCCTCCACACCAAGTCAGCACAGCTCTAAGCCCAGTTCCCAGTCTTGGGCTGCAGAAGAGCCTCTGCCCCCCTGGGCCTGGATCCCACTAATGCTGTTTGTGGGCTACTGGCCTATCTCCCCCCACAATCCCCTCCCTGCCCTGCCTGGCCCAGCCTGGGGGGGAGCCCATGGCCCACTGGCCCCCCAGTACCTCAAAGTGCTCTTCAGTCATGTGGATGTCCAGCTGGAAGGAGGCCCCGTGCTTGAACGGGTTCTCCTCCTTGGTCTGGTTACACTGCCAGCTGTGGTTCTGGAAGGTGTTGGACACCACACAGTTCTGGTCCAAGCGGGGGTTGAAGTGAAAAGCTATATCGCAGCTGGGCCCATCCGAACAGCAGAAGTTCACGGAGAACCTGGGGGGCAGGCAAAGGTGAGACCCATGAGAGCCCGAGCTCCTAGCCCCAGCCCCCAACCCTCAACTGGAGCTTAAACCCAGGGGGCAGCTTGTGGACCTAGGGCCTGAACCAGCTGCCAGGCCAGGAGAGACTAAAATAACCCAGGGCTCTTTCATTTGGAAAGGAGACGGCTGAGTGGGGAGTGGAAAGAGTCACGAAGGCTGTGGACCAAGTGACCAGGCTGCTGTTGTTCATCAAGTCCCAGGACACTAGAACCAGGAGACACCTGCTGAAATGAGTAGGTGACAGGTGTAAAAGTAACAAGACAGGACTTTTTAAAGCAATGCATCGTTCTCTGATGGAAGTCGTGGCCACAGGAGGTGGCGGAGGCAGAGGAGCCAGGATCAGTGCGGCCTGGATAAATTCATGGGGGATGGATCTATTCATGGCTGTTGAACAGGATGGCTGGGGAGATTTCCTTGGGTATCTCTAGATCAGTCCATGGCGGGTATCGAATAGGGGTTGGATCGCTTGATAGAAATTCCCAGCTCAATGCTCTCTTTGCACTGTATCGCATGCACGCCTGCCGCAGGCAGAGAGGGACTCTGGCCTGGATGGACCGTGGGTCTGACCCAGTCTAGCCCTGCTGATGCTCTGATGTAGAAAGGCATCCTAAAGCATCAGCAATCCTGCGGTCCTAGGAATCCTGGGGCAGTGGGGCTGGCAGGGGGCTCCGGAGGTCACAGCTAGCCCAGCTCCCTGCCCAAAATGGGATCAGCCCTGTCCAAGATTCCTATACAATCCCGACCCTGACACACATTACCCTTAGCACGCTGCAAGTCGTGGCCTGACCACACATTTCTTCAGTTAACAGCGTGAGAAAACCGGAGTAAGCGACAAAGTTGCAATGCAAATTGCTTGTAATGACCCGGTGGTTTGCATGGGGCGTGTGGCCAGTGCTTCCAGTCTCCACAGCCTGGGCAGGCTGGTCAGCTGCTCGGGGTCCCACCGCGGGAGCATGGTACAGCAGTCTGAGGAGGGAGAACCCCTTCGGGTCCCACCGCCGGAGCAGCACACCCCACCCTGTCATTAAGGCGAGATGGGATCTGATGCCAGATCCGGACACCCCTGAACGGCCGGGTGAGACTTTTACGTGTCCAGTCACTTACCACTGGGAGCCGCAAGGAACAGAGCCCTGGATTCTCACGTGCCTCCCAGCCTGAAAACCACAGTCAAAAGCCAGGACGCAGGGGGTGGTCTGAGAAGGGGGAAAAGAGAGGGAAGCTCAAGTGACAGCACTTTGGAGAAGTGGAAAAAATCCAGGTCACAGATGCTCCCCAGCCCCTATGGCCAGAGCCCCCGACCAGGGAGAAGGGCTGGTACTCACCAGCCCTGTGACGGACTTGAGAGCCATGGGCGCTGCGGGTGTCCCTCTGCCCGACCGAGTCAGCTGGGGTCCGGCAGCAAAGGTGGCTCCTTATATACCAAGCTGGTCCCTAGAAAGGGGAACCCCACCCTCTGCTGATTCATCTCTGAATGCCGCCGCCGCCTCCTCCCTGCAAGATCCACCTTTGCCCTGTTTGACTTTGCAAAGGGGCAGCTTTTCCCTCAAGTTCCCTGAGTATTGCCCAGATCGGAACATGGGATCATCCCATGCCTCGACACTGGCTGTTGCTCTACTTGAGAACTGCCGTGGACCGGGTCAGACCCCAGGTCTGTCCTGCCCAGTCTCCCATGTCAGCCTAGCGCGGTGCTGGGCGGGAGAGTGACGGGGTCTGAGCAGGGTTTTCCCTCGTTCCTCTTCCCCTCGCAGTCATCGAGAGTCCAGGATGTGGTGACCCCGAGGCCGTGCCCCGCAGCCCCCGATGCCCCTTTCCCCCAGCATGGGCCCAGCCCCTGGGTGGATCTGGCTGGACTCTCCGCTCCCTCCATGCCCGGTGCCCACGAACTCCCTCCTTTTACCCTCCACGGGGGGAAACGACCGTCCTGGTGTCGGTGTTACACTGCCGGCCTGCTCGTTTTGTGCTGGGACTCCTCAGCCTTGTCTGGCGAGAGGCAGCCAGGAATCGGTCCCTGGGAATGTCTCTTCCCTCCTTAGTACGGTGTAAACCCCGTCCTGCCCCTCTCCAGCACCTCTCTCCTAACCCCCCTAGGCCTGGCCTCATTAGTCTCCCCCATAGCCCCGACCCCCTCGCTGCCCTTCTCTGCACCTTCCCCAGCTCTTCACCTTCCTTCTGGAGGTGCGGGGAGCAGAGCTGGGCGCCGTACTCAGGCTGTGAATGCACGTGGGGTGATGAAGGGGCATCGCAAGATGTTCCACTTTGTTCCCTGTTCCCTTCTTAACCGTCCCTAATGTTTTCTTTGCTTCGTTGTTGGTGGCGGAGCTGCTCCCAGGGAGGAAAGGTGCGCTGGCTCAGGGGGCCCAGGGAAGCCTTTGGGGAAGACGTGGGGTGATAAAGGCTGCCGGCAGCCTTCTCTCTTTCCCCCCCGTTGGAAAATGAGACCAGGGATGTGGCAACAGGAACCTGGACCGGCCCGGCAATCCTTGCCAGCCCTTCTTGGGCTGCAGGAGCCAGTGGTGGGAGCCAGGGCTGATGCTTCATTTCATAGCAGAGTGTGGGAACGACGGTGGTGGGGGTTGGGTTTCTTCTCCTCCCAGTGTCAACTGGCCCTGGGACCAGGCCCTGCGCCCTTAGATCTCATAGATGTCATAGGCGTTCGGACTGGAAGGGACCTCGGAAGATCGAGTCCAGCCCCCTGCCCCAGGGGCAGGAAGTCAGCTGGGGTTCAAAGACCCCAGCAAGATAAACATCCAAATGTCTCTTAATGAGTCCAGAGTGGGTGCTTGCACCACCTCTGCCGGCAGTCTATTCCAGGCCTTGGGGGCTCGGACAGTAAATACATTTTTCCTTATGTCCACCCTAAAATGGTCTTGCAGGAGTCTGTGACCCTTGGACCATGTCATCCCCTGGGGCGCTCTGGTGAACAGACGTTCCCCCAGTTCCTGGTGAGCACCCCGATGTACTTATAGGTGGCCACCAGATCACCCCTGAGCCTGCGCTTCTCCAGGCTGAAGAGTCCCATGGCTCTCAGCCCCTCTTCATGAGGCCTGTTCTCCTGCGCTCTGACCATGCGCGTGGCTCTCCTCGGCACTCTCAAGCTTCTCCGCGTCCTTCCTGAATTGTATAGCCCCAGACTGGACGCAGTACTCCAGCTGCGGTCTCGCCACGGCTGAGTGCAGCGGGAGGATGACATCCTGGGTCTTGCTCAACATGCATTGGTAGATGCAAGCCAGAGTTTTGTTCGTTTTGCTGGCTGTGGTATCGCATTGGTGGCTCATGTTCATCGTGTGGTCAGTCATGACCCCAAGTGTCTTTCGGCCATGGTGCTAGTGAGTGTAGCATTGCCAAGCCTATACATGTGATGCAGGTTTTTATTCCCCAGGTGGAGCACCTTGCATTTCTCCATATTGAATGCCATCAGGTTTTCATCCACTCGCCTTCCAAACCTATTGAGGTCAGCCTGGATCACCAGACTATCCTCAAGTGTGGACACTTTCCCCAAAGTTTGAGGTTGGCAGCAAACTCGGTCAGTCCGATTTTGACACCAAAATCCAGACCATTTATGAAGACTTGAAAGAGAACAGGTCTGAAAAAGGGGCCACTAGTCACTGGGTGCCGCATTGATTCAGTTCTGTCCACTGCCACCCTCTGGGTCCGACCTCGGAGCCAGTTCCCCAGCCGTGAGGCATGAGGGGATGATGGCAACCGGTGGCCTCATCACACTCCTCTGATTGGAGCCCGTGGCCAGACCGGCCCAGACCGGGGGGGTTTGCCTTCCACTGCAGTGGTGGCATGTAGAGCTGTGTGAAATCTCACCCAGCATTTCATTTGGAAGCTGTTTCGATGTGGTTCGAACTTGAAACAGCAAATTCAAAAGGAAACAAAAGCCTTTGAAACAGCTTTGAAACGAAACAAGGGAACTCGAAACATTTTGAAAGTTTCAAAATGTTTCGAGTTTCGAAGCCAGGCTTCGTGGCTTCAGCGCAGCACCTGGCTCCTCTCATCCGGCAGGCAGATCGGGGGCTTGCCCGCACCCCCGGGAGGGCTGTGGGGGCTGTGCCGGACTACTCCCCGGGGGTGTGGGCCCCTGATCTGCCTGCCAGATGACAGACCCATGCTGGGCGCAACTCGCACCCAGTGCCGGGAAGATCAGTGCTGCCAGCTCCTGTCACCTGGAAGGAAGGACACGCACCCCCAGGAGGACTCCGGCACAGCCCCGCAGCCCTCCTGGGGGTGCCGGTGGGCCCCGATCTGCCTGCTGGCTGACAGGAGCCAGGTGCTGCTGCCTGGGGCCAGTGGGGCTGGGGCCGATCAGCTCATGTGGGGGCCCCCCCCCCCGCCCCAGCCCCAGGGCAGGGCAGGATCGCCGCACAGGCTGATATACCCTGGGCCCCGCACCCACCTCAGGCCAGCTCTGGCATGAGGCCGGGGCAGATCAGCTCATGCAGGGACCCTCTCCCACCCCGGGATTGGAGCAGTGGGTCCCCGCACCAGCTGGTCTGCCCTGGCCCCGTGCCGGAGCCAGCTCAAGGCAGGTGCAGGGCCCGTATTTCTAGGGTGCTGGCCAGCCCTGGCATGGTGCAGCCCTTGGGCTGCCTACCTTTGCCATCCAAGACTCAGGGAATTGTCGGGGTGGCCAGGGGATTTTCTAATTCAAATAACAAATGAAATTGTTGGCTGCTGGGTGAAGTGACTTATGATGTTTGCAATGATGCCTTCAGGGAAACGTGAAAGGAATTTGGGGCCAGTCTTCACCTGCAGCTGTGCCCAGGAGAGATCGGGGGAAAGCACCGGGGTGTGTGGAGTTGATGAGTCTCAGGGAAAGGGATGTATGCTGTTTGGGGACTAGTGGCAGGGATTGGGATGGATGGAGAAGACGGGAACTTTGTTGGAAGAGGATGAGGATTGGATTGCTACTAGGGGATGCGATTTGGACACTCTGGAGAATGAAGAGAGATGGATTTAATTGACACTTGTCCTTGTTTGGAAGTAAACAGCTCTGCACACTTTCAAAAGTCCTTCTCTGAACTTTACTTCATTGAGAATTTCACAAGCACTGAGAAAACATGTAAAGCAATAGTAAGAGTGTTAATAACAGATAAGGAGTAAATCCTAACCACAAACTGCCAAGTTCCTAAACCCCCTCCTCCCCGCTCTGCCCTCACCCAGCCATTAATAGTAAAGGATCATCTGATTTCATAAACTGAGGTGAGAGCAGATGAGGGAGCATGGCCTCACAAAGCCCACCACCACAGGGAATACTACACAATCCCATCACCCCTGTTTTGCCATATATCCCCAGCCAATATGCCCCAGGACTGCTGGAGATTGTCATCCGGGGTGTGTCAGTGCCCCCCTCATCCTTGCTGATGCAGCTTACCCACCCCAGCCCTGGCTCATGAAGCCCTATCGTGTGGGGGGGGAGGGGGGCAAGTGACTGTCTTACAAGAACAGACCTTCAGCTACCAGCTAAGCAAATGCTGCATGAGCATAGAGTGTGCCTTTGGGCACCTGAAAGCCCGTTGGAGGTGGACATAGAGCCGGAGAACATCATCGCTTTCCTAGTGGCAACCTGCGTGCAGAGGTGCTGCCTGGCCTGCCTGCAGCAGTGAGCTCTTTCTCTGCACGAGTAATTGTGTAAATAGCCGTGTGGGCTTGGAGAGGCGGCGCACAGGCAGGGGAGTGTGCACAGAGGTGTGCGGGGAAGAATCTGTGCGTTGCCGAGGTCTGGGGTGGGAACAGGCTCTGCAGGCTGCGAGATGTCTGGGCCTATGGGAGACAGCTGGAGCCCTCAAAATGCATGATGGGAGGAGTGAGGGACTGCCCCTCTCTCCATCCTTTGGTAATAAGTTGTGGTGAACGTCTGTTCCATAGACCTAGACATTAGGGCTGGAAGGGACCTCGGGAGATCATCGAGTCCAGCACCTTGCCCGAAGGGCAGAAAGTCAGCAGGGGTCATAAGATCCCAGCAGGATAGACATCCAAATGTCTCTTGAAGGCATTAGTTGTGAATAATTAATTAGGGGACTAATATAATGAGTATTTAGCATAGTGTATCAGTTATTATCTTCGTATCCGTCAACCTGATCATCTCTTCAGTGTAAATAGTTGTGAACTGCTTTTTTGTATAAACTCACCCTAGTTGCATTGTAAATGGAGTATTTCAAACTTCTGATATTTAATATTTGCATGCATATTATAATTATTTCCTGTATATACTTAAATTCTGTAAATTGTTACTCCTTAGTCTGCAAGGCCTCTCCATTGTAAAAGGGAGTCCCTCCTCCCAGGGAGCTTCTGACCACTCTTAGGGGAGCTGAGCAGGGATAAAGCTACCTGGTACCCCAGGTACCAAACATCTGGACGCAGCCGTGGGTAGGGCCGTGCA